GCCTTGTCCCCCCGTGTGCCCGTCCCCAGCATCTCGTCCTTGCGGCGCTGCGCCCTGCTCCGCCACAGCCCCGGCACCCACAGCCACCCACCGCCCTGTCCCCACCGTGCCCAGCACCCGCCCCGCTCCCTCCGGCCATCCCCGGCCCGGCGCGTCCGCCCCGGAGCCCAGGGACCCGGCCCGGCGCCCGCCCTGAGGCGGCCGTTGGGGCTACAAGGATCAGCGCGGGCCCAGCAAACTTCACACTTTAAATTTTTAATTTTCCACTTTTTCGTTTTGATTTTCTTACAAAAATAGGAAGCAGCCGCTGCCCAGAGCCAGGGGGATGGAGGGCAGGAGGGGGCGGTGTGGCAGGTCCCTCGCGTGCCCGGTCTGCCCGGTACCTCCCTGTGCTCCGGGCCGGGGCAGGTCCGGGCTGGAGGCTGCTCATTTGGGCTGTTTCCTGCCCGGCAGCAGCAGAAGGGAGGTCTCCACAGGACGCAGGGGGCTTGATCTGGCAACCCGTCCTCCCCACCCTGGCCTAGGTGCTCCCGGCCAAGGAGAGGTGGCCAGGGCTCAGGGATATGTGGGCAGGCGGCCGGTATGCACGGGGGTGGTTGCATTCGGAAACACGCGGGCACCTGCGAGCGTGCACACGGGCATCCCCGCACGCGGAGGCAGAGGCCAGCATGTGCACACATGCATGCACATGCGTGGAGCTGGTGCACGTGCATGTGTTTGCACGGAGATGCACAAGCCTCCATGTGTGCAGCGTGCCCATGGTTGCACCCCTTGCATCTGCCTGCTCCCCGTCCTGCCCCGAAACCTGCTGCCAGCCCCGTGCACCGGCTGCCATGGGCACCCTCAGCCGAAGTAGGGGTTGTCGTGCTGGAAGTTGTAGTCTGGGCAGACCTTCTGGACCAGCTTGTAGTCGATGCTGAGGAAGGAGATGAAGATGCAGATGACCTTGAAGGGCTTGGCGCAGAGCCAGGCAGCGTGGCTCTGCATGTGCTCCGTGAAGCACACCTTGGATGGGTCGTAGAGGCAGGGCTTGTTTTTGCGCGCCCGGTTGGTCTTCTCATACTCCACGTGGCAGTTGAGGGCCTTGGGGCGGCCCTGGGGCAGGGTGCTCTGCAGGGGCGGCGGGCGCGCCAGCGCAGGCAGCAGCACCTCGAAGCCCACCGCCTTGGAGGGCGGCACGATGCTCACCGAGACGTTGCCCAGGCTCGAGGAGTTGTGGCGGAAGTAGACACTGAAGGTGCCATTGATGTGGTCCACGATCTTGCCCGTCACCAGCAGGCTGAACTTGAGCGTCTTGATGTTGAAGTAGAAGTCTCCCCAGCCGAAGATCTTCTTGGCACGGGTGGCCTTGAGCGAGGGCTTGCGCCGGGCGCGGGGGCTCAGCCCCCCGCCAGCCGTCTGGTTGCTTGGCCAGTCCCAGGGCCCGCTGGGCAGCCCGGCAGTGCCGGCCCCAGCGGGCACCAGCCGCCCAGGCTCCAGTGCCGGTGGCTTCAGGCTGCCGTAGGGCACGTCCTTGAGGAGACCGGAGGTGCCCAGCTCCAGGTAGCCCAGGGTCTTGGCCATGTGGCCCTCGGCACACACCATCTGTGCAGGGAAGAGGGCAGAGATTGCGCGAGTGGGTGCCCAGGCAAGTGCCCCCTCCTGCATGGGTCCCCCCACAGCCCCTGTGCACCTCCTGCGCCCCTTTGCACCACTGCATCCATGCAGCCCATGGCACCCCCTCACAGGCCTGCACCCAGTCGTGCCCCCACCCCAGCCCCAACCCCCTGCAGGACCCAACCACCCCAGTGGGGCTGTCTCCCTGTCCCCCCCATCCCCGCGATGGCAGAGCAGGAGCAGGCGGTTCATTACCGCCTGCTCAGCGCAGCTGAGCCCCATTAAAATGCAGGGCTGGGGGGGCTGCAAGCCCCCGCCGCCTGCCAGGGAAGCCTAATTGCATTACCCCGGGCCTCTGATCTGCCGCTGGATTTACAGCGCCC